AAATTAATAAGTTCTGAGTTTTTTTTTATTGCTTCGATGGGTGGACGAGCTCACAGCCCACCTGGTGTTAAGTGGTTACTGGAGCCCATAGACATCTACAACGTAAATACGCCACCCACCTTGAGATATAAGTTCTAAGGTCTCAATTATAGTTACAATGGCTGCCCCACCCTTCAAACCGAAACGCATTACTGCTTCACGGCTAAAATAAGCAGGGCGGTGGTACCTACCCGTGCGGATTCACAACAGGTCCTGCCACCAGTAATTACGCAAATTTTAATTTTGCGAGTTTCACTTTTATTACACGATGTTATTCCTTCACCGTGGAAGTCAATCGTGAACATTTGTTGAGTACGTATTTCATTAGAAAAATTGGTACCCGCCTGACAGTTTTAATGCGAGAAGACGATTTATGGTCCTAGCTAAATTTTCTTTTTCAACTTATTTTTAATATAACACAACGAATAACCCAGTAGCTAGTTAGTTAGTCATTTATTATCACATGCCAATTTATGTTTGCTTAATGACTGAAGTTTAAAAATTTATAGCCAAACTACTCACATTCGTAAGCATAACCATATATCAGTTAATTATTTACACACATATCGCAATTATAGAATTGAAGTCACTAAATTCAAAATTCTTTTTTTAATTTATTGCCTAGATAGGTGGACGAGCTCACCTGGTGCTATGTGGTTACTGGAGCCCATAGACATCTACAACGTAAATGCGACACCCACCTCGAGATATGAGTTGTACGGTCTCAAGTATAGTTACAACGGCTGCCCCGCCCTTCAAACCGAAACGCATTACTGCTTCACGGCTGAAATAGGCAGGGCGGTGGTACCTACCCGCGCGGACTCACAAGAGGTCCTACCACCAGCAAATTACGCAAATTATAATTTTGCGGGTTTGTTTTTTTATTACACGATGTTATATTCCTTCACCCTGAAAGTCAATCGTGAATATTTGATAAAAGTACATATTTAAATAGAAATTTTTTTTGGTAAACGTCCAAAATGTAATTGAAGTATTGAAAAGATTCCATATTGATTTTAATACCGTAACCCTTAAAGCACATACCTTATAAATTAAGGCATCCGCTTGATTTAAAAGAAACGGAACTATGTACTTTGTCTTTTTTTTAACCACAATTGAAATTTTATTTTTAACTAGCTGACCCGGCAGACTTCGTAGTGCCTCAATCAAAAAATAAAAGACCTAAACTTTTGTATAAAATAAACTTAAAACAAACAAAAGGAATCTGTCCGACGGGAGATATTTAAAAAATCGTTATTTTTATTTAAATTCCGAGCATTTTCATATTTATCTACCTTTTAAACCTTCTCTGGACTTCCACAAATAATTCAAGACCACAATTGAGTCGTCTATTATCAAAGGTGGCAATCTGTGAATTTGGACAAAAAATTTTTATTGATATGTCAATACAGATTGAATTGAATATAATCGTCTCCTTCAAAGAATACGGTTCAAAACCTGCATTAAATAAAGGTTAATAGTTAACCTGTTATTTATCTAAGATGTCGTTCCGAAGAGTTTTGTGACTGCCAATGGAATACAAAGTCAATAATTCGTTTTTCTGATTTACCAATCATTGTCCAAAAGTCAGATTGNGAATATAATCGTCTCCTTCAAAGAATACGGTTCAAAACCTGCATTAAATAAAGGTTAATAGTTAACCTGTTATTTATCTAAGATGTCGTTCCGAAGAGTTTTGTGACTGCCAATGGAATACAAAGTCAATAATTCGTTTTTCTGATTTACCAATCATTGTCCAAAAGTCAGATTGCCGGCTTTGATAATAGTCGACTCAATTAGCCAAATCGGTCCAGCCGTTCTCGAGTTTTAGCGAGACTAACGAACAGCAATTCATTTTTATTTAAATATAGATTTAAAAAAATGTCTTTTATAAACTAATAGAATTCTTAGGTCGATAAAAGTATAAAACGCATTTTCTTAAATTTTTTGTTAAGCCACTTTATTTCTATAGATGCGATATATTCTGTCTGTTTGTTCTTTGTGTTTGTTCTCTCGGTCTGTCTGTGTGAAGGATGTCTTTTTTTCCATACCTATGCGGATAGCCTTGAGAGGGTATTTCAGCTTCGCCCTAACGTGTAGGTGAGCTCACGGGGCTCAAATCGCAAGTGTTGCAACACCGGTTCTTGCGCAAGAGCAGTGCTTCGCAGAATGCAGTATCTACCACCGGAGAAGATCTGGCGAGAAACTCAGTGGGCTGTGTCTGTGGGTTAATTTACTCGCTGAGCCCTTCGTCGCAAGCGACGGGTTTGACGAGAACGATGACCGGTGCTTCAGGTGCCTAAAAGCATCGTTAGTGGATCGGGAGTATCCGTAATGACGTGATAAGGATGTCAGTGCAGAAATTACATACGACGAGAGGCGTGAATGGAAATAAAGGACATTCTCCATCGACCCCACATTGTGGACAAGAAAAACAAGACCGTATTTGTTTGCTTGCGCAAAATCCATATGCATTTGCAAAAAAAAAAAAAGACAACGGTTTTCTTTTCCTGCAAAGTAATGAAATCATAGGCAAAGGGCTAAAAATCAAACATCCCAATGCCTCCTACATTTGCCAATAATGAACTGCTCAAATATATTTTTTCAATACGCTTTTATTAGCTTCAGACGTATGTATCTTAGTATGTATATTTGTAACGGAATCTTTGAACATGATTTTGACCCCCTTCAAAACATCGGATTAACTTGAAATTTGGTATACTTATTAAGGACCGATGACAATTCAATATGAAAAAATAATTGAAAAAATTTAAACTCAACTATTATAAAAAATGAAAACTAAATAATAGTTTAAAAAAACTAACAAAATACGCTATTATAGAAAATCCAACTAAAAAATTGAAAATAAATTTTAATAAATTTGAATTAAAAATAGTGTAGGAAAAAACGATTTTATTGTAAAAAAAAGCGTGGGGTGTATGGTATAAATATTTTATGAACAGATATGATAGAGTAAAATAATTTTTTCTTACACTATTTTTAATTCAAATTTATTAAACTTTTTTTTTTAAATAACTCGTTTATAGACTGACTCGGTGGTGGTGTAGTTAGCAGCCCTGAGTTTTGCGTCGAACATTGTGGGTTCGATTCCGACATCGGACAGCGATCAGCGATCAGATTCAGGCAGCGGCTTGGCTCTGCCCCTGGCATTGCTGAAGTCCATGGGCGACGGTAACCACTCACCATCAGGTGGGCCGTATGCTCGTCTGCCTACAAGGGCAATAAAAAAAAAAAAAAAAAACATACATTCGTGTGATGAACAGGTTTGTTAGCTCATTGTCTGCGTGTTGATAACCTACATATTTTAATATATGTAGTATATATATTTAAAACGTATACAAGTACGTATGTTAGTCTCTGACCGTATCTAAGTCCGTTAAACTATCCTAATTTAGAGCCGGATGACCGACCGGGCGTGATTTGTTCCCAGTTATTTTTATTATAATTTTTTATTGCTTAGGGTGGACGAGCTCACGGCCCACCTGATGTTGAGAGGTTAGCAGAGCCCATAGACATCGACAACGTAAATGCCGCGACCCACAACGGCTGCCCCGCCCTTCAAACCGAAACGCGTTACTGCTTCACAGCAGAAATAGGCAGTGTGGTGGTACCTACCCGTGCGGACTCACAAGACTTTCTACCGCCAGTAATTACGCAAATTACAATTTATCAAGTACGTAGTTTATTAGAAAAATTGGTACCCGCCGGCGAGATTCGAACACATTAGTCAAAAGTTAACTCAAATTTGTATGAAGTTGGAACGTTTGCCTACGTTTGCCGCTAGGGGCGCTGTTCCAACTTCATACAAATTTCAGTTAACTTTTACGTTATCGAGAACGTTAAAAAACTCGCACTAAGCACACAGACGACGGAGCAATGCGGAGTCGCCATCGCCCGAAACATGTCTTATCGGAACCCCCGGATCGAAATATTACTGGTGGCCCGAAGGCCTTTACAGTTTCACCGGGACAGGTGGGCGAGCAAATGCTCAGCCAGGTGGAGTGGGATTTGCTAACAACTGCCCGAGCGCTTCCGAAGGAGACCTAACAACTCAAGAGCAGCTGCTTCGCGAATGAATCTACTACCGGATCGGAATCGCTACCCGCTAAGAAGATCCGGCGAGAAACTCAGCGAGCTGATGCATGGGTTAGGTTGCACTCCGACCTCTTTGTCGAGTTCGACGAGTACGGTTACCGAGGTCCCTAAGCCTGCTCCTAGTATTAGAGCTGAAGGCGTCTAATGCAAAGGTTATTGGATCTGATGGATCCGTAAGGGCGCGGGGCGATGAAGAGTTTGACGAGAGAACTAACCCATAGACACAGTCCCCTGAGTTTTTTTTTATTGCCCTTGTAGGCAGACGAGCATACGGCCCACCTGATGGTGAGTGGTTATTGTCGCCCATGGACTTCAGCAATGCCAGGGGCAGAGCCAAGCCGCTCCCTACCGTTACTCGCCGGACCTTCCCAGTGGATCGCGATTACGATTCGGTGGTAGATTCAGCGAAGCACTGCTCTTGCTTACCCACTACATCTTCAGTAATACAGCTTTTCTTATGCTTAGTTATGGCAAACGAACTCACGGCCTACCGAGCACTAAGTGATCACAACAGCCCGTAGACATCAACAACCGACCTTGAGGAATTCGCGACAAAAGTACGCAGATCGGTGATAACAGTCCACGCGGGCTCAAAAAACGCTCATCCACAACCAAATGACATTATGTACACTTACTTGATGTATCGTTATAACTCCAGACTGTTCTGTCATTTTCCTTCACAAAAACAAAACACTTAAAAACTATTATCACAGATTGAATAAATAATAAATTAATGTTACGCTATGAAATTAAAACAATATTATCAGAACATTTTCGATCAATCGTCTTCAACGTCNGGCTCAAAAAACGCTCATCCACAACCAAATGACATTATGTACACTTACTTGATGTATCGTTATAACTCCAGACTGTTCTGTCATTTTCCTTCACAAAAACAAAACACTTAAAAACTATTATCACAGATTGAATAAATAATAAATTAATGTTACGCTATGAAATTAAAACAATATTATCAGAACATTTTCGATCAATCGTCTTCAACGTCCAGATCCCACATGTTCGCTAAGCCCGATAATAAACTTCGGATAACCGAATCGACGATCTTATTCAAAAATATAAAATAGTAGAACAGAATCCACCAGAATTCGATGAAAACACGAAAGTCGGCGGTTAACATTTAATAGGCGTGCGTATCGCGCGGCGGTCGGCCACCGAATGAAGCCGTGACATTTCGAATTCTGCGCGTGCGCAAGCTCTGCGAGGTGTGGCGCGATTTCTATGCCTCGTTTGAAATTAAATAGTCTATTGTGCAGATTGTGCTCGGTAATACTAATATTAATAACTAGCGGCCCGTCCCGGCTCAGCTCGGGTCTTTAACAAATATTTCAACGATTCAAAGAACACTTATTGCGGCACAACTATAATAGTTAGACATATGCTGTCGCGACACTTTTTGTAAATAATAATGTGCTCTACAAATTCGTACTACATTATTTTATTTTATCATCAATAGTTTTCGCAGGGCACGCGATGTAAAAATATTTTAAGTAATTTTTTTTACATTATTAGAGTTTATGTAAGGATCCCTAATTTTTTTCAAAAAACATTATCATCGTATATGTCACTCGGGAATAGTGTAGCTTCAGCAAACAGTGAAAGATTTTTTCAAATCGGTTCAGTAGTTTCGGAGCCTATTCAATACAAACAAACAAACAAATCTTTCCTCTTTATAATATTAATAATATAATAATAATTAATATTAGTAATATATTAGTATTAGTATATTAGTATTAAGTATAGAAGTATAAAAACCTAACAACTCGAGAGTAGCTGCTACGCGAATGAATCTACTAACGGATCGTTTTTAACTTCTCGACCGCGTAGAAGTTAACTCAAATTTGTATGGAGTTGGAACAGCGCCTCTAGCGGCTAACGAAGGAAAGCCGTTTTGACTTCATACAAACTTAAGTTAGCCTTTACGGGGTTCGAGAAGTTAAAAACTCGCACTAAGCACACTGCTCTCGCAACCTTAGTTTAACTAATCTATAAACCACTAAGCAGTAGTAGGCAAGTCGATTGGCGCATTGCAAACGGTGCATAAAACAATATTGATACGCGGGACATTATCATTCAGTGTTCACGGCTACATTGCTAAGCGAAATTATTATTACGTTAAACAAGATCACTGGTGGTAGGAACTCTGTGAGTCCGCACGGGTAGGCACCGCCACCCTGCCTACTTCTGCCGTGAAGCAGTAATGCGTTTCGATTTGAAGGGTGGGGCAGCCGTTGTAACTAACTATACTGAGACCTTAGAACCTCGTGTCTCAAGGTGGCATTTACGTTGTTGAGGTCCATGGGCTCCGGTAACCACTTAAGGCCGTTAGCTCGTCCACCGTCTAAGCAATAAAATAAGCAAAGAACATTCATCATCATCATCATNTGCCTACTTCTGCCGTGAAGCAGTAATGCGTTTCGATTTGAAGGGTGGGGCAGCCGTTGTAACTAACTATACTGAGACCTTAGAACCTCGTGTCTCAAGGTGGCATTTACGTTGTTGAGGTCCATGGGCTCCGGTAACCACTTAAGGCCGTTAGCTCGTCCACCGTCTAAGCAATAAAATAAGCAAAGAACATTCATCATCATCATCATTTCAGCCTATCGCCGTCCACTGCTGAACATAGGCCTCTCCAATAGATTTCCAGTGCGACCGGTCCATTGCCACCTGCATCCAACGAGACCCAGCGCTTTTTACTAGGTCGTCGGTCCATCTAGTAGGTGGCCGTCCCACACTGCGCATGCCAGTACGTGGTCGCCACTCCAGGATCTTTCTGCCCCATCGACCGTCCTCTCTTCGTGCTATGTGGCCGGCCCATTGCCACTTCAGTTCACTAATTCTACGGGCTATGTCAGCAACCTTAATTAATTAAGCAAAGAACATTAATTAGTAATTATTTTATCGCAGTAACAATTAGAGACATTTGATTTATTTAATTACATTTCTTTATTATTAGTCATTCAGTTGTTATTTCCGAGGGCTGATAGCGAACAAATAGAATTTATTATTTGACAAACGAAATATCTAAAATACAACGTTAAAATATTCTCGAAATCACTACATAGTTTAAAAAACAAAGTCGCTTTCTCTGTCCCTATATCTGTCTGTCCCTATGTATGCTTAAATCTTTAAAACTACGCAACGGATTTTGATGCGTTTTTTTTAATACTTAGAGTGATTGAAGAGGAAGGTTTATATGTATAATAACATCCATTAAATAGTGGAGAAATCAATAATAAATTACAGTTTCCGAAGCGAAGCGAGGACGGGTCGCTAGTAGTGAATATAATAGTGTCGAGGGTTGACAGGTTATTTGGTTTAAGCGGCATTTATTTTTGTAATTAAGGTCGATTTTTTTTTGTTATTACATATTAGCATCAACAGTTCGATGTTTTTAGTTGAACTTCAATTAAGTTTATCTCATTCATATAGCCGAAGAATTTTGTTTTGTTACGATTTTTTTTTTTCAAATTATAAACTTGAAATGGCTCTACAAAGTTGCAAAAATGAAAAAAAAAAACGCCATATTGAATCGTCAATGTGTAGTTTTAATTAACCCTTTTAGTACTGAGCTTACTATCAAATATTTCGGAGAAATCGCTAAAGGATTTTTGAAAAAATGGACTCTAAATTCGTAGCAAAATACATATTCTATTTATTAATTTTAATAACTTATTGCAAACGTTATATTATGTACATGAGCGCGTTAAGACACGTCCGCACAGGTCAATACGTAATACCTATAATCAAACTGCGCAATAGTCGGTATTCCGACGCGACGCTCCGCACTTTATACGCGTTAATAAAGGGACGATCTATCGACGGTTCGCGCTCAACCATGTCGGTTTTTCGATTAAAAATCTTCGTAACCAATTACTGGGACGAACATAAAAGAAAAAAAAAAAAAAAAAACTATAATTTGATTCCTACTCCCCAAACGAAGCGGTCGTTACCTACTGTCTTTTGCTATGGCTAGTAGCCTAAAAGCTATTCCAGCTAGCTACACGCGGACCGATAATGCCGACTTAACTAACCGCATTCATCGAATTCTCCAAAGAGTTCGAAGTTCAACCTAACCCATAGATAAGCCCGCTGAGTTTCTCGCCGGATCTTCTCAGCGGGTCGCGATTCCGATTCGTTACTAGATAGCCCACTGAGTTTCTCGCCGGATCTTCTCAGCGGGTCGCGATTCCGATCCGGTGGTAGATTCTGCGAAGCACGGCTCTTGCTAGGGTTCGTGTTAGCAACGTCGTCAGGTCTGAGCCCCGTGAGCTCACCTACTAGTTAAGGTTACGCTGATATAGCCTCTCAAGGCTATCAGATTAGGCAGGAAAAAAAAAAGGCACTAGATTCATTCGCGAAGCAGCTGCCCTTGAGTTGTCAGGTCTCCTTCGGAGGCGCTAAGACAGCCGTTATCAAATCCCTTCCCCTCCTAACTGAGCCTTTGCTCACCCGCCTGTCCTGGTGAAACTAAAAAGCCCTCCGGGCCATAAGCAATCCTATCTACCCTTCAAAAGCAAACAATGCAAGACAGAAAGTTACCTCTACTTAACAATTTACCCTAACGGTCATGCCGCACGGGAAAAACCACAATTGCTCACCCCAGGGTCGGGTGTCATTTGATATAATAATCTCTGGAAATGCAATATTCATGCAGTATCTCTGATTCGTATGGACACCAGAGTCCTTCTGTACCAGGCAACCGGATATTAAAACGGTTTTCACGAACAGATGCGAGCTATAAACGTGGAAGGGTAGATAGAATAGGAAAATCCATTTATTCGATATCAAATGAATGAATGGCTGAATATGGCGACAATTAGTTTAACACGCGACAATATTATTTGTAATTAAAGGTGTGGTTTATTTGGTACATATATTGATGTTTTTAATTGAACTTCAATTAGGTTTATTTATTTTTTATTATTGCTTTACGGCCCACCTGGGCCATGGCCCACCAGGAGTTAAGTGGTTACTGGAGCCCATAGACATCTACAACGTAAACGCCGCCAGCTACCTTAAGATTATGTGGGTCTTGCGACCTCTTGTAAGTCCACACGGGTAGGTACCACCACCCTGCCTATTTCTGCTGCGAAGCAGTAATGCGTTTCGGTTTGAAGGATGGAGCAGCCGTTGTAACTATACTGAGACTTTGGAACTCGTGTCTCAAGTTGAGTGGCGGCATTTACGTTGTTGATGTCTATGAGCGTCTTTGACCACTTAATATCAAGTGGGCCGTGAGCTCGTGAGCAATAAATAAATAAAGGGTTGTTGTAGCCACATTTTCTAGCTCCCAAGACGTCTTACCACCAGTAAATAGCTAACGCTAGGCCGAAACTTTGGGGATGTAGTCCGCAAAGTTAGGGCCGAAAAACAACCCATATAAAAATTAACAAAAATAAATAGTTCAGTACATTATGCCCTCAATTTGTCGACAGGATAGCCCACTGGACCGAATGGAACTATCCCATAGACAGTTTCTCGCCAGATCTTCTCAGTGGCTCGCGATTCCAGTGATAGATTCAGGGTTATCCCATAGACAGTTTCTCGCCGGATCTTCTCAGTGGCTCGCGATTCCAGTGATAGATTCAGGGTTATCCCATAGACAGTTTCTCGCCGGATCTTCTCAGTGGCTCGCGATTCCGGTGGTAGATTTAGAGAATCACTCGTGTTGGGGCGAGTTAGAACCAAAACCAAATCATGCATTCCAGAAACTTCTTCGACGGAATTTGCCTACCAGTTATGAGGCTGGGAGAGTCGTTAGCACAATTAAGACTTCCAACCCCATTCCTAAAGTTAAGCGACATTCACGTTTGCCATATCTATTGACTCTGGTGACCAATAAACACATTTCCGCTCGATTATGTCCTTAAAATAATTAATAAAAGAAACGTATTCATTATGACCAAAAGCGTGTTTACGATATAACCACGCCACAACATCGGCCATAATATGTGAATATATCACATTCTGTCTCAATTACCGACATTGAAAACATACGGTCACACAGAATTGTGTTAGCAATGACCCGGTTTACTGACGATCTTTGAACATGAGCCGATATTGGAAACGAAATCGAAAAACTGGTTTTAGCAAACAAAAATATATACACAAATTTATTCTCCTATACCTTATATCCATACATATAT